CAATGTGCCGTTCAACTAATAATAAATAATATTTAGAATATGCTCCTTTTGCCATCATATCATCCATGCATTTCAACCAATCAGATGGTGGTGATGTAACCAGCTTGGGTTAGTCATGCTTTCAGCCCTGCTAGTAGACAAGGCCATGTCGGCATGGGTACGGCTTGGATAAGGCTTGCATAATTTATAATGGTATGGCTCAGGTACAGCACGGTTCTTGGTGGCAGTAGAAAAGTGCCATGATACTGTTTCGAGGGATCAGCAGAACTTTCTCTAATACTTGGTTGTTGAGGGAAACTGGCATCCCCACAGGACAGACGCAGCAAGAACATGCGAATTCCAGACTCAGGGACTCAGGGGAGGGGCCAGTGTCACAATGCTGGAGGTGTGAGGTCAAAATGAAATGATACCCTAGAGGGCTGAAGTGCTGTAGGGTGCACGCCTTAGGAGAGAATCCTCCAGAGCCTCACGGAAACTGATAAGAAAATGCTTCCTTATCCAGTCAGCTAATTATAACACAGGAGTGGATTTTTAGGACATAAAGTTTGCCCAATTCAGTCAAAAAAAAAATGCATGTCAAAGTTTACGGGATTGAGCTGAAGGTCGCTGTGAGGGGCCCTCAATGTCTGGCGTCAGAAAGGTCAGTTCTGGGGTACATTCTTTTCAAATCAAAGGCATCGTTGTAAAAAGCGCCTATATAAAATGCTTAATACCAAAATCAAGCTGCTCCATAACTTTTTAATTACTGTTGTGAATTTACGCAGATAATCCTGGGCTGTTCTAATAGCATCACCCTAACACAGTGTCAAGAAATGGCTTATTGAAAGGCTTTGAACACAGAATATATACTAACATGGAGGACAGTTAATGGATGGGTCTTTATTAATGTTTTCCTCTGTGCTACATTGATTTTTTTTTCTAACACTTCAGTGAGAAGTCATTAACTTTCTGCAGTCATTATATGCTGCAATGTCATGGTCCTTATAATATATCTCATCACAACAATTCACATGCCACTGAGAGGCCTGAAGACTCTTAACATGAAGAATTAGGCTAACAATTGAAATGTGCACCGAGAAAAAAATAACAGCAGTCATCAGCAGAAAAATGAAAAAGATTTCCAGCAGTTTTTTGGAACCACAGAAACAGTTTCACATATTTGGTGTTTGCCTGTATAGTGATGTTCTTTTGCTAACTATGGCTACGTGAAAATCTACTGCCAAGCGGAACTGGGAGATGAAAAATGTAAATCAGCTTATCTTTAAGGGCCTTTTAGAGGAAATTTGCAAAGAAATGAACACAGGAATTAACAGAGCTTGAATGCATCAGTGCTGCAACAGTCTCAACAAGTCCAGTTGGCCCTGATACATGACAGAAGACCATGCATACATTGTGGGTTGTTTCAGAGGGTTAATTATGCAGTCCTAGATCTTTACTGCGTCTGGGTTGAGAATAATGAAAGGTTAGTGCCCATATAGTCAGTCTTCCATTCCATCAAGAATAAGGAGTGAAAGTGGAATCAAAATGGTGTAGGAAGCATTTAATGGAACGATAAGGTGTCCTTGTAGAGAGTCTCCTGTAAATACTTCTGTAATCCACTTGTTCTGGACTAACATACTTGTTACACACTGTTGTGTCTTGGTATTTGGGAAACTTATTAAGAAACACAATGCTGGCAAGGCTGTGAAGGGATGAACACCAAAGCATCCAGCGTACAGGGCTGGGGGTTCGAATCCCACCTCATTCTGTGTATGTGGAGTTTGCATGTTCTCTTCGTGTCACGTGGGGTTCCCTCTGTTGATTTTAGGTAAACTGGCATCTATAAACTACCCTGAGTGTGAGTGTGTGCCCCGTGACTGCGATTGATAAAGCAGAGTGAGCCAGTCCTTGAATGGGCCAGCGCTGAACTGAGACACCCAGAGTCCTGTGACGGCCTCCAGCTTCCCAAAACCAGCACCCCATCCTGGGTGAGAGGGTGGAAGATGGGTAGATGCGGAGGATTACTTAAAATGTAAGAGACAGACAGCTTTGGCACATATTACCGCTCCATATTAGCTACCATAACACCGACTACTGATGACCTGCTTGAGAAACAAGCGTAAAAATCCCAAGTCCTCATTTTCGCTGATAGTACAGGGGTCACCAACATGGTGCCCGCGGGCACCAGGATGCCCCCAAGAACCACATGAGTTGCCCGCGGACCTGTTCTAAAACTCACCAAAATTTAATTTTATCCTGTTGCTATTCTTCTTTAATCACATTTGCATTTATATAGATTTGAAAAAAAAGCATTTAAAACATGTTTATTATACATGAAGTTTAAATAAGTTTAGGAGGGCGTTTCAAACTGGTAGCCCTTCGTGTGGCTCAGTACCCGTGAAGTAGCTCTCAGTTTCAAAAGGGTTGGTGCCCCTGCTTTGGTATTTACTGTTGACAAACACACCTGAAACAGAGGCCTTTAACACATCATTACTGCATCTCTCAAGTAACTTAACCTGTGTGTGACACATATAAATAAATGCAGAGCACTTCATCCCAACCCTACGCCCAATCAGGCACAAGCATCTTCGGCTGAATGCACCCAGAGCAGCGGCAGTTTGATATTCAGCCGTGCATCCCGGACGCAGGCAACTCTCGCATGTGATCCTGCATTCGGAATTGCATCGTGGAATAACATGACAAAAAAAATAACAGTGATAGAAAAGAACCAAGCTGGGGATTCTGTGACATGTAAGCAGTTTGATGGAGTTACATTTTACTGGACATTTTATATTTACTGCTCCTCAATGCAGAGATTAACCGCTCCGGCATAATAAAAAATGCAAATTTTTACGAGGTTCACGTAGCTGATAATACAGTAATAACACCAGCTGTCTCTCACCTAACCAGCGCTGACGGAATGTTGGCCTCCTGTATAGTGCATAATTTATTTTAAAATGCCGACATGATAAATGGGCTTATGGATACTATAGCAAGAGTGCCACAATGAGGAGGAGCACGCATGAGCCCACACTGAAGGGGGTTTCATGTAACGCACTCGAGTGTCACTTGGAGGAATTTCAGGTCAACGAGACGCATAACGTGGGGACCAGCAATGCCGGGTTAGTGATCTACATGAACGTGATTTACTCCTCATCTATGGCATGAGGGGTTCCTGGCATCTTAGGGACACTGCCAGCTCTGATAGCTGATTAGGTCATCTGTTATGCTAACTCACATCCCAAGTATTAAATGCAACAATCCTTATAAATATGACTTTTAGCAATTTCTGCCAGTGACCACGATTGATCAGAACCTTGTTTCTGTCGGAGATGCATCATTCCAAGCTATTGACAGAGTAACGAGCCATTCTGGCATGAACAAGCATGGATAGCAATTTCATCTTCTGTGGTCCACATTTTGCATGTACCAGCAATTTTCCTTGATTACCTTCCAGAGGAATAAGGAAGATCAGGCATCTACTGCAGGGAGAAACTTATAGTCTAAGATTTGAACTGCAGATACTAAGGGATTGATGCTTCGTTTAATTCATAGTCTTTCTGCCCATGAAATGTCACAACAATTATTCTACTTATTGTATGCTTCTTGCACGCTGGAGCGCTGACCATGACCAGAAACTTTAAATCTCTGCATCCTCATTTTGTTAATTGGTAGTGATTCAGCTATTTCCATCCATCCATCTTGCAGCTGCTTATCCAGCAGCACGGGGTTGCTGGGTGTTTAAGCTACATCTGTAAGTTATGTCCATAATTCTCTATATGTGCTTGTATCTGCAGGCAACCTGCTGACTTGACTACTGAGAAATCAGCCGAGGCTTGAGATGCTTATTATACATTATGTTTTTTAATTAAATAAATTTTTACTGCATTGAATTCTGAAATTAATTAACTGAAATCATGATAATAAAATACAAAGGAAGAGAAGACCGGACCTCTAGCCAAGGACATACAGTGCTTGGGTCGGTTGCTTAATTCTGTAAAAACATTGAAATTTATTGGTCGCACAACAAAAGTCCATAGACAAGCAATGCCTTACATATCTGCACGTATCAACTTTTTATATCTGCACGTTTTTTTCTATAAATGCTTTGGCGTCTGCAACCCCGCCCACGGGACCAAACAGAGATCTCGCCAAGTCGTTTAAAAAACTCCGTGAGCTTTTGTCATAGAAACATTTTAAAAAACACCCCCAGGAACCTTGAACAGTCTACTTTTCAAATATGTGTAGGAAGCAACTACATATATTTTTAGAGCTTTGTAAGGAGAATAAAAGGAACAAGAGTGACTGACTCAAGTGTCATTTATAAGTAAGATTTTACTTAAAATATTAACTTTTGCAGTAAAAACACTTGTATAATTCATAAAAATGATGCGACGCGGATACGTTTGCCAAAAGCAAAGTTGCTAATCACATTAGCGACTTACACATTTCCTACTTTTTTTGACTGACTCATTCAGTTTCGTTCTTGCCATTTTGCTATTAATTGCAATTGTAGTCACTGGCTGCCAAAAGGATAATAAACACAGATGTTTTGTGTTTTATGTTATTGCAAAAGTGTAACTAATTAAAATGCACCCACTGAGATTGCGTGTCATTGAACTTTTTAACTTAGAACAGCTCTTTCAAAACTATAATTAGGGTTTCAATTTATTACTACTTGAATGTTTTACTTAAAACTACTGGTTGTTTCTAATGTTATTTCTGTGAATAAATGAAATTATGATTTTTGTTATATAACCAATAAATTTGCACTGTGTTTACTGAATTTAGCAAGCGTCCCAAGACTTTCTGTCAGCACTGTGTATAAGGGCGGGCCACAGGCGCACTGGCCCCAAATGGAACCTGATTGGTTCCTGCAGTGCCCCATCCCCTGTCATTCACCGACTCCACGCATATCACTGGCTAATAAGGTTAAATTAATTCCGGCCCCTCTTATGCCCTTCACCTTCACTAGAATCGCCCCTACCCATTGCTTCCGGGCTGAAAAGATGGCGCCTCACCTGTAAAAGGGTGGGGGATTCCCCCTGGCCTCGCAGCTGAATGTCACCTCCCTGTTCTTCTCCACGGAGTCCACAGGAAACACGATGCTGCCAGGCTGCTTGCTGAAGACGAGGCTCTGCAGGCCACCGCTGTCTGCAAAGGATAAGGGGACGTGCAACACAATCCCTTACTTACACTGCATGAGAAATGCATTTACAAAGCAGACAATTAGTCACACAGGCACTGGGCAGGGCAACACCGGCAGATGATTGGAGGGGCAAACCACAAACAGACTAAACATATCAATTAATTCTACCTGCCCCAGTTCCAAGTACTTACGGCTAAGTTTAGTGAAACGTGAACTATATCTCGGGGCATTGTTTAAAGGCTCAACATTTTCATTCCCCATTGAACTTCCAATTTACCTGATGTATTCGATTTACCTTTAATTTAGCTTTTTTTTTGCTATTCTGTGCTAGAAGTAATGTTGGCCACGCAGCAGGTAATTAAGAGTGCAGCACCGAATTTCGGCCTTTATTTAAAGGAAGACAGGGGGAGACAATCTTGCCCCCATTAATCCAGATGGCCTTGTCTTAGCTTAGGGGAGTCTCTCCACATGACTTAGCAGAACCTCCGCAGTCTAGAAGCACCAGGATAAAGTGTAGGTACAGCTTGGTACCCATTTTGCTCTTACACCAGACTTGCTTCGAGCTACGGTCAACCCTGCATGTCACCCAACCGTCTTCACTTCAGTTTCTGCCACTGCCTCTGACCTACAGACACAGCAACTGATCTCGGTCTGCGCTCTGAGGTCCTTACCAGACCACATACAAATTTATATGGTTGCTCTTGCATTGAAATATGTAAATATTCACCCAGAAAAATACGTAAAGAAAAACAGACTAGCGTCAAAATAAGTAACGTCTAGATATTTCACATTAGTTGTGTTGTGTCTGTGATGCACAGGAGCCCTAAAAGTCTTCTTCAATATAATTTATTTGTTACTGAGTCGATAAGCCAAAGGATAAGGGACAGGTGATGGTTTTTGTAATCGTCTCGCTATTAGCCTGAGACCAGATTAAATTTGATTGAAGGTCTATACAGCACATTACCCAGCCAATTTCTGTCACTGAATCAGCCCAAAACTCAATCCAAACTGGATCCATCAAACGATATTGTGCTTTAGGGTCCTCTATGAAACGCGGCTCCATTTATGCTGCTGCTTTTCACCACAACAATGAGCACAAAGAACCACTGACCTCCATCCATGCCCTGCAATCCTCACTAATTACATGCAAATCCACCAGCCTTTACTTAGAAAACATTTATATGTGAAAAATAAAACAGCGTTTAGTGTTCTGCCAAACAAAACCTACACATTAAAAAACAATACACCTCAAACCGCGGGCCTTTGTCAGCACGTGCTGCGGTGAATGTTGCTGACTTTGCAAAAAATCCAGAAGCATTTTAAGAAATTTATTTTTATCTGGTTTATTACAATCATAGTTTAATTAAAAAAAAAATCCATCAATTAATTGTACCTGTATGAACTTAAGGTCTCAAACATTTCAGAAAAGATATATTGGAAAACGGTTATTTTTTGCATAATTGGAAGCCGTGTAGATTCACCACACTGATTTAAGGTGTTGTGATAATCAGCATTTACCTGTAACCCTCCTGCAAAGCTTTACAGCACTTACAGCAAATACATAAAACATAGGCAGCAAGTGACCAAATGATTTATGTCATGCGCATTATCGTATTTTCATTATTCATTCTGAACCTGCCTGAAACACAGAAATGGAAACACTAAACATATAAATTAAATTTAACCTAAAAGAAATTCCAAGACCTAAAGAATATGGTGCTCTTTAGTGTTTTATATTGTATTTGTAGATTGTGATTCTATATTGTGACAGATACTGCATTTGTTTAATGTCCAACGTGCAGTTTTAGGGTAATTTTTAAGAGACACAGTTATAAGCCCACGATGACTGAATTCTTGGGGGTCTGCGGCATAGATGGTTAGCTGTCTGTATCGCTGACAGCAGGCCTACACGATTCCAATGAAAGTGAGATCCAGCCCACTTACTTCTCAGTACATAACAGCAAAGCTTGTTTATCAGCGGGGGGTTCTATGCAGCACAGGGCTGTAAATAACACAACTACAGAAAAAAATATTATTTACATCATGCTTTGGTTAACTTCAACCAGGAAAAATGAAAAAAAAAGTTAAATATACAAAATAAATCAATGAATCAGGCACATAAGAGGACCTCTTTTCAGCCATAGATTATGTTTTCTGTTGATAAATAAAATATGCGTCTATGACTGCACACAAAGCTATTCATTATTTAAAGTCATGTATGATATCTTTTTTGTAATAAAGAAAAAACATAGACCATTTCTTTAGGAAACAATTTCTGAGGACTTGTTACTGCAAAAGGGAAACACTGATAGTGACTGATTTCCTTGCTAAAAACGTCTGAATAATTTCTCGCATTATTTTCGGATGGCAGGTTTTAAAACTGTTTTAATGTTATATTTTGATCCATCAGTGTAACTGTCTTAGTGGGAAAAAGTCCTGATTGTTATACAGGCGACAGTGAGAGCAGTAAACACCCGCAGATTGTCAGATGGCTTGGTACTGTTCCTTCATGAACGCTACGCCAAAAACTAGTCCTCTTAAAGCAGACTATCATTTAATAAATCACCTGTAGGCAGTTTCTGAAGCGTGTCTTGGGACCTGCTATGCTACTGCTTCAAATGTATCTTGAGGTACATCTTGTTTGTACACGGACAACAAGAAGACCGGTTCTGGTTCTACTAAAGCAGTGTTTCCCAATTCAGTCCTTGGGGACCTCCAAACAGACCATATTTTTGCTCCCTTCGAGTTCCTGGAAGTGGACTGTCTGGCTGGAGCTGAGGAAGCAAAAATGTGGACTGTCTGATGGTGCCCAAGGACTGTGTTGTGCAACACTGCATTAAAATCATTCATTCATTCCATTCATTCATCCATGAATCCAATTTCCAACCACTTATAAAATTAAGGGTCATGGGCTGTTAATGTAATGCTTAATGCAATTAGTATGGAAATAGGGCACCACCATGATAAACATCATCATCAACTTTTTATGTACAAACAGTGTGTGGCTTAAACTAAATTACTCTACATTTCTTTTTTTTGTTTTGTTAAAATTCTCTGACCAGAGAGAGAGAGAGAGAGAGAGAGAGATGGGTTTCCGACCTATAGCTGGGTCACCTGCTCATAAAGCAGCCTGCCAGATGAATAAGATTTCAAGCTCAGTAGGTCTGGATTAGCGGAGGCAGATAATGGGCGAGAAATCGCTAACACTCCCACTGAAGCCTGCTTGGCAGATTACACTTTAATAGGCGATTTCACTCTTTCTCTTTAGAAGATGGGAATTTTAAAGAAATGCCAGCTAATGTGATGTTCCCGCACCTCGGAGTGTCGTACGTCTGCACATCTGTGTGTCATGCACACTCACGTTAAGGGGGACGCACATCACTGACTGCTCTGTGATCCATGTGATTGGAGCACTGCGATTCCACTGACTGCCACACTCCCAGAATGTACACTGTATGGATGCCGTTCTCTGACTTTATTTTCATTTGTTATTCACTTTCTTATTCTTTTGATGGAGCTGTTGATGAAATTCATTAAATTTACCAATTGTCTCAAATCAAATCATTTATATTTTCAAAACAAAATTCTGATAAGGATACTGATGAATAGTAAAAAGATTGGAACAACTGGATGCTTTATGCTGAATACTGTATAATTCATTTTAGCGGGAAAAACAAATATAAAAGATCTTTAATTATGCTTTCACCTTCACACTTTCCACCCTTTAAAATGCTTTTTAAAATGGGTCGTGAAAAACAGAGAAGTCTGTGGTGTGTGACTCAACATGGTCCGAATAACTATTTGATCAGGACTAATTACTTAGGCCCCTCAAATACAGCACAAACAAGCATTCAGAGTTTGTTACCAGGGCAGGGCTGCAAACTGCACTCTGTGTGAGCTGTCTAACAGGCCTTCTCCTTCAGGCTTTCTAGGGGCAACATGGGTCACTGAGAGCTTTTTCATCCTGTGAAGCAAACTGATGTCCTTCCAGCAAAAAAAGAAGAAAAAAAGCAATAATTAACCGCAGTTGAAGGTGCACGCCAAGGCTGCAGTAAGTGAGCACTAGCCTGTAACCACCTATGCAGAAGCAGACCATGCAGGCCTCTGTGACTGTGAGACAGCAACGCTGACACACGTCTTACAGCAGGTGGCAAGTGCTTCAGCATGCTTCCCGGCCATTGGGGGCATCAGCAGTTATTGCCTCTCCGCGATAAACCCCACTTCTGGGAGATCACATGGCAGGTGTTAAATTTACACACGGCGGAAGGAGCTGTAAAAACAAGGAGACGAGCCCCTGTAAGCTTTAGCGACAAGATTCTCAAGGACAACCCAGCTATAACACGAGCTATACCCGGCGATTTACCAGACCGCAGGGGCAAAGGAGGGAGGCAGTATCTAAACGGCAAATAGCAGTCTGTGAAGCAGACATCCATCGCGGCATTAGCCGTCTGGCAGCTCTGTGGTCGAGCACATAAATTCCTCATCAAATCCGAAAAGAGCGAGATGGATATTATATGCATCTGGCAGGTTCAAAAATGAAAGGGAGCTGATTACACTTTCACTTTTACTACTTTTACTATGATGCATACACTGTTCTTCTACTTCGGCTACTACTTCTACTTTGGAAGGCGACACCACAGAATAATGTAGTTATGTGTGGTTAGGTTCTTGGTAAAACTTCCTAAATCATAAACTGTAAATTGTGCTGGATGTATGTCCCCGATCTGCGAACCCAAAACATCCCACTTGCTCAACTAAGATCTGACACTAGCTGTAATGTTAACCCCCCCCCCCCATTCTGTTTTAATTGGTTTATTTATCTCTGCATCCGCACTAAGTCTGACAGATGTGCAAAAGCATGGGTAGGTGAATACACAAGAGAGCTTGCATGTGTACAGAGTTCACTGGCAGAAAAACCTGCAAAGTCTAAAACAAGACATCACATTTATCTTCATGTCATTCACACACATTTCCTATTCCACTTGTCCAATTCATATTCCTGTCT